TCGCTACGCCTATAGACACAACCTTACCTGCACTACGAGCCTAAGGCACCTTTAATTAAAACTTTAATTAAAACTTTAAGCCGCCTAAAAGATTAAGCGACTAATAGACTAACTAAGAGCAAAACTATAGAGCTAAGCTAGCCGGGGTCGATCTTGCGGACAATAGATTACTCCTCGATCTATCTAATCCTTTAAGCGAGGCGAACCTCTACTACTGCACTTATAATAGCCTTTACCTATAGAAACTAGACGAGCTATGTTTTTTTAGAAAAGATAAGATAAGATTGACAATTGAAGGCTACTAAACCTAGCTAATTAGGGCTAGCGAAACTACGAACAATAAGAATAATAACCCTCGGAACGGACAAACCCTCGGAAGCGGACATTACTAGGTCTTTTAAGAGTAGACGCAAAGAACTCGGTACGACATTACGTAGAGCGGAGGTAGGGCTACAATACCTCGTACGTCTACCTATTATAGTAGGGAAGACGCGCTCGTATTATAATTAGTCGAAGGTCCTTAATTCTTATAGATACATATTACTTTATAGTTTATTATATATAGGGATAGCGCAGTTAGAATTGGACATTGTGTTAAAAGTGAGGTTTGATATAGTTATATAATTAGGTAGTTAAGTGTTTAATTTAGCGCGGCTAAGTAGCTTATTAGACTTACTAAGTTAGCAGTAACGGAGGTCGAGGTTAGAATATAGAAAGGCTACGAGGGCGCGGCCTTTAGAAGGGAAGCGTGTGTTAGAGGCTATACGTAATTAGTATATAACTAGCTCGAGTAAAGCTAGGGTCTTAGTGCCTTAGGCAGGGCTTGGCGCTTAGCGTTAGGCTAACTAGCCTGCCTTCCTCCTTCTCCTCCTAGTTCTCTATCGAATACTACTCGTACCTACTACTACCCTATCTACCTACTAATATACCCTTCTTACAGAATTTTAGCACTCTTAGCCGCTTTAGTCTGCCTAGTATATATATCTGCAGCTCCTCTACTATTCCCGGCTAGAATTTCTATATAGCCTCCGGCTTCCTTAGCTTCTCTAGCTTGCTTAGCCTACCTTTCCTTTAGTGCTCTACTATACCTAGCCTTCGAAGCTTTAGATCCTTTAGCCTACCTAGCCTTAGGTCTCTAAGCTCCTCCCTCCCTAATAGCTTAACTTTCGGCTACTCGGCTGCTCCTAGCTCTAGGCGGTATAGATGCTTTAGCTACTATAGCTCTTACTCGCTCTTTTTTTTCAACTTGCTTAGTTATACTCTTTAGATGCAGCTAGCTTTCTAGAATATGCTCTAGAACCCTATATATTCCGTTATACGATCCCTCGTTTTCAAATATTAGCTATAAAGACGTATAAATAGACTTCTAGGGCTTTAGTCGATCGATAGCGGGTATTTAGGGGAATTCCGGCACTTTAGACTAATCTAGATCCTCGTTATAGAGCTTATATATCCTCGCAACCGCTTCCTAGTAGACTCTAGCAATGCTAGAGGCAATAAAGTGCCTCGAGATCTTTGTAGCAGTATCGTCGTATTTGTTTCTATCTATACCGAGAATGTAGTATAGCTAGAGCTTCTAGTCCTCGTATAGCATATCTATAGATAAGCTAGATCGCGGCATTTTAATAGATTTGAACAGTTTTCTAGTCGTAAAGTATATTAGATTATCTTTCTAACTGTATCTATGCTCTCTAGATCGTATATAAGCGTCGCAGTTGTTAAATACGATATAACAGCTCGGGTCCTAGCTAAACTAGGTAATCTAGCGCTTTGCGAGATTATATAGCTTCTTATTTGTAGTATAAATCGTCTATAGAAGTACGTAGATCCCTAGACCTGCTAGTGTGCTTAAGATACGACGTTTCGTGCCCTACGACTAGAGATATATACTAATCTAGTACGGCATTGCATTCGCAGATCGCGTGCTAACGTGTCTAGCGAGCGTAGACGTAAGTATAACTATCTTCCTATTAATTATCCGCGCCGATACTGTCTAACGTACCTAGAGGATTCTACGGAAGAATCTGTTTGTCTAGGGCGTATAGCACTCTATAGCCTTCTATATATACCGATAGTTCAGATCTTTAGATAGCGTATCGCAGTTCTAGCAGCCAAATTCTCTAATTCTTTTAGCTTCTTCTTCCTACTGCCTTCGAAAGCTAATTGCAAGGCGTCTAGCAATCCCTAGGCTCTATAGCAGCTTACGTAATATTGCCTAAGTAGTCTAGAACTGTCGCCTCTATAATAGCTTTCTTAACTGCTCTATCGAACCTAGAATAGCTAGGGAAGAATCTACACTATACTCTTATATAAGCTAACCTAGGATTCTATATAGAACGACCGAGCCTAGAATAGCTAGGAAGACTAAATCCTTCTAGACGGTTCTGGCCTATTTAGACTCCTAGCTAATTAGCTTAGTTTTAATATCCTTCTTTAACGGTGTAAAATCGGGATAAATACCTAGTACGCTAGCCTACTACTAGACATAGAGCCCTACTAGCATTCGATCTAGGGAGCAGATATTATAGCATACTTAGACTAACTAATCTAGCTCCTAGTTAAACATCTAAAGGGCAATCTTACGCCGGCAGTCCCTAGGCCTAGCATTAATAAAGCGTCGAAGAGTACGCTCTAGCGTAGCTCGCTTGTCTAACCGTAACTTCGGGCGCTTGTTAGCTATTTTAGACAGCTTAGCTTGCGTCGAGGGCTTATCCTACGAGATCTCCTATATACGTACTAGGCTAGGTCGATTAGATAGCCTCGCCTAGGTTTTAGACTCGCTCTAGCCTAAAGTCTAATCTTCGATTAGTAGAGTAAACACTCCTTTACTATAACGGTTAGATGCTCTAACTGCACGCCTAGCTCGCTAGAATATCGTTCTTATACTGCTATTCCGAGGCAATCGATACTGTACAATTCGCTTAATATCTAGAATGTCTACCCTAAGCCCTAGAGCTTTAGTAGCGAACAGAATACGAATCTAGGAGTCTAGCTGCTAGAATTCCCGTATAATATTCGCCTAAGTTCGCCTAGCTGTTCTGCTATAGTAGATACGACAAATCTAATAGAGCTATCGAGTACTAAACTTACCTAGCTATCTGTATTAGATAAACTAGCGCATCTGATCGATAGTAGCGCCTAGACTAGGCCGGCTATTAATAAAAACGACGGTCTTCTGTAACTGCTAGGGCACTGCTAGACTATCCTAAGATACAATTCCCTTAGTTAACCAATTTAGTATACTGTAATTTACTAGACTGCTATTAGGGATTATATAGACTCTTATTAGAATCTCCGGACGATCAATCGAATGCTATAGTATATAGGTCCCTTTAGCAACTCGAAATCTAGCTCCCTCTCTAGCGTATCTAAGCGTTATCGGGTCTAGTATCGCTAAGCAGCCAAACATCTTTACTAAGCTTCCTACTAGACTTCTTAGCTGCTTTAATTAAGCATATTCCTTCTAAAATGCACTACCCTCTACGCCCTATTGCTATATAAGATGAAATTTATCTACAGCTATTAGACCTAGCGTCTAGCGAAATCTAGCCTTACTCTAAAGCTTCCTAAACCAGTTCTAGAGCGCTATTTCCGGACTAAGCATAATATAAGTGAATTTCCCTATATAGAGGTCCTCCTAGTCTTATCTAGAGAGCGTAGCTTTAGTATCTAATGTAAATAAGAGTAGATTTCTACTAAGTCGCTAGATGCGTTTAGATTGCTCTAAACTAATCTAGTTTAATAGCAAAATAATAATTACTGTCCTCTACATTATTAACGGCTACGCCTAGAACGCTAGACTCTTTCTAGCTAAGGTCTTCGCAATCTAGACGGTATTAGTAACCTTATAGACAAGCTAATATAGCGCCTCTACCTGCTCTGCTCTTAGTGCAAATAGATATATCTAGCGATATACTAGCCTAATTAGACGCTCTTTACTCGATCCTACTATTAGTTTCTACGCGACACCTTCGACTCTCTTTAACTAGATATGCTCCTAGAGCTCCTTCCGGGCCTTTAGAAAGGTCTAGCCTTTAGCTAGACGGAATAGCTAGTCTTATATGTTAGCTAAGAACATTTCGATTCCGGCACTCTCTGCTAAGGCCTAGTCGATCTAGTTATCGCTAATACTAAGGGCAAATCGAACCTTACGACGACAAACCTCCTTCTAAAAGATCTAATATACTAACTAATGCCTCTTAACCTCCGCTATATTGTTATCTATACGCACTAAAGCGTCGCGTATTTAATCGTATAGGCGTCGTCTACATTCCTAGTCTTCTATAGTATCTAGTCTACTAAAAAGTGTCTATAGCTCTGTCTAGTTACTCTACTTATTACCGTCGTCGAGAGACTATACTAGCGTAGCTAGATCGCTATCTAATATATCGCTTAGTAGGTCCTCGTCGCCGGAATCGATTAAAATAGAACCTAATACCTCTCCTTCTAGGTAGTGTTTGTCTAGCGGCTCTAACCCTTTTCCCTTACTCTTCTAATATCCTATATCGTTCTTTAGCGTTACTAGATAAGCCTAATCGATCTATACTAACTCTAGTATATATACTAACGTTACTAACTTATCTCGAAACGACGACTAATGCGTAATACTAGCGCGTGCCCTCTGCTTCTAAAACGGCATCTAAAAAAACGGAAAATATTAGTTTATAGGCAATCTTAGCAGCTTTCGAATGTATCTAGTAGCGTCTAGATTAGTTTAGGTAGGCAGGCTACTTATAGTCTAGAAGATTTATATACAAATCGACGCGTTGCGACTAGACGGCTTTTAGGTCTTCTAGATAACGCGCATTCGCGAAATTTATTAATATTTTATTAGGAGCTTATAGTAGATATTAAATAGAATAGATTATATAAGATAATTTCTTTAGATAGTATATCGTCGTCGTCTAGCAGCTATCTAGCCGTTCCTAAAGCTAGATTGTATAACAGTGTAAAACGCGCCTAAAGCTAAGATGTATCTACTAGAACCCCTAGATGCTTCCTCAGACCTCCTCCAGTAGGAGAGCCCGCGGAGCGCTTAATTGGCTCCCTACGCGAGGTGGTCTGAGCGTCCCCTGAGACTACCACGTGAGAAAATCTTGAGACCCCTGCAAGCGCGCTACTCCGCATTCGGTGACGCGCATGTGAAACCCAAAGGCAGGAAGTCAGATACAAACAACGCGAGATAGTATTGGATTGCTTTGCACTTGTCCCTGTTGCGCGAAGTCGTAGTTCCGACTCTGCAGCACGCTCTGAAGTGTGCTATTTGCCACCACCAGCAGAGACTGCATGCGGGAAACGGATGGGGGAGGGAGGAAGGGTATTAAAGAGTGACTGGAGTTGGTCTTCTATCTGATTGCCATCGTGTCTTGCAACATCTCCGTTGAGAGCATCCTCTCCTCCTTAGGGGAGCAGTAGATGCTTCCGGCCTTGTATCTTCCACAAATGAAACCCTCGAAACGAGTGTAGTCGTATCCGTTACTGCTTGATCAGCTCTCGCTCCCTCAATGTATCGAACCTCTACCGTAGAGGCTGACTCGTCATACCGGAATAGGCCGAGTGTCCAGGTTACCATACACAGATCGATAACCATAAGCCATGCCCAAAACACACCAGCTGCATCCGCAGCCTATGTCCCGAGAGAACCAGCTCCACCAACGCCATGCTATGCCTTGAGCTCCCAATGATGAAATCCCTGTAATCCTGATCTCGAAATCATCCCAATACATTAAGTTTCAGCATACGTCGTAAATCATCTTCCATGGATCTAATGTCTCGTGAGCCTGTCCGAGGATTGTTCTTACCGGCATCGGCATTTTGCTCCGTGCCGCCGCGCTGCATGGCAGGAGTATTGAACGAAGCAGAGTGATTGTTGTAAGGAAAAGGAGGCAGCTCAGCGGGACCAGCCGTACGTGCCGTCTGATTAAGATAGTTGCGTGCAAAGGTGTTCGGGCTATTCGGATCTCCAACAGCAACAACAGAGTCAGCATTGGATGAGGTGTCGCTAGGAACCTCTTGCCGGAGGCCAGAAGTCGGTCGAGTTGATGAGTCAGAACGAGCGGCTTTGAACAGAGGTGACAGATTTCGATTGCCATAGTGGAGGGAGTAGTGATTCTGTTGTTGTTGCTGCTCCGAAGCTGGTCGTGGAGTGCTTGGTCCACAACTGGGTTGCAGACCCGGTGATGGCGAGCCGAAAACGCCATCGGGAGTATGCTGTCCTGAATTGGTTCGTGATTGGTTTTGTGGAGTGCTTGTGTTCGAGCCGTTGGCGGTCTGAAATAACATGTCCTTGAGCGCTTTGGTGGAGTCACGTCGTTCCTGGTCGAACTCTTGATGTCGAGCAGGAATACCAGGAGAGGAGATCGCTCGTTCTGCATACGGTGGTCTACTAGTGTTTGGAGGCACTGTTCGAGGACTAGGCATAGCATTGTCTCCATCGAGCTCGCTCAAGAATATGCTTCGTCCAGATTGTTGGAACGGATTCCTGGGCATCGTCGCAGGTCGCTTTGCGAATTCCGGTGACAACGAAGGCTGACTCAATGCTCTTGCTTGCTCCCTCTCTGCCTTGTCCGCCTGGAAGAACAGGTCTAATGGCGACTTATGACCTTCATCCGGAGGAGCAGTGGGCTTGACAATGTCGGCCTCTGGTGAGGACTGCTCTGCTTCTGGAGTTTTCTCGCCAGCAAGCTTGGCTGACAGCGACGATGGACGACCGCCGTTCGGCACTGATCTGCTAAATTTGGGCATAGGCAGAGCTGAAGCGGCTGGTGAAGCCTGGAATGTAGGTCCCGCGTACGCCCTCTCTTTTGCAGGCGTGGCCAGCATCTGATTGCCTGCATAAGATACAGGTCTCTGTTTTGCGCTATTTCCATTGCCCATGTATGGGTTCTGTTGAAGGGACTTCTGCTGTCCTGCTGCTGCGATAGCTACACTCCGGCGTTGCCTGTGGGTCTTCTGCGGCGAGGAAGTAGAATTGACAAGCGCACCATCTGACATAGCGCCATCGACTTGATTGCGATTGCGGTTTCGGTTGCTGCGCCTCTTTCCCTCTGCGGCGGAAGGAGTGCGCTGGTTGTTGCTTTGCGCGGCCGACGCGATCGGCGCGTCGCTCGCGAACTCGGTCATGACGGCGAGTGAGTGTCGCGAAAAAGAAATATGAACCTTTGGTAAAGCAGGATTTGAACGAAGTCGGGTGTCAGGAGCGACTCGGTGCTCTGATTATCTCGGTAATGGATGGTATTCAGCCCAAGGTACTCGCGGTGATGATCGTGTCTGTGAAGTTTGGAATCCGTATGTAGACATTTGTGATATGAAGAGGTCGAGGTAATGGCCGGATTTCGCAAGGTTGTGAGGAGCCTTGCAGTGTCTGAGTAGGACTATGGATTTTATGGTACGTGGACGAGTGACTACTGAGTCGGAGTGTTGTGACAGTGGTGAATGGCGCGCGACGAGGCGGCCCGCGCTTGCCGAGATGGCGCTCGTGGTCAGGGCTTTGTTCGCCGTTGCCGTCACAGCGTAGCGTCAGCCTTTGCTCTCGTACTGTCTTCTGACTTCGCTCACAAAGCCCCAAAATGGCGTCAATGCCTCCTGCTGAGCTCAGAGCGGCTCTTGATCGAGATGGCTTCGTGCGAATCCCTCAAGCATTTACGCTGTCCGAGGTAGAGCACTTCAGAGCCGCATGCCAGCGCACAGTTGCGGCAGCGAGAAACGGACAATGGAAGTACGTGCGGACGCTTCCAAAGCAATTTCCTCCGTGGAATGTAGAAGACGTTTCGGAGACTGGTATCTTCATGTAGCCCTCAAGCTTCAGCACAATTGCACTGACGTTCATCGCATGCCTTTGGGGCGTCCAACATCTACTTCATCCTGACATGCCTGAGAGGAATACCTTCGCTGAAAGCTATTTTGGTGACAAAATGGTCGACGCCGTCACCTCATTACTAGACTGTTCCAGAGATGACCTGGTGATGGAACTTTACAATATGCTTGTTACTCCTCATTATGACTGGTCTCTACGATGGCATCGTGATGATATTGGGCCGGATATCAGTCCTGAAGAGGAGCTCGAGCGTCTCCAGGAACCAATGTTGCATGCGCAATGGAACTTAGCGCTTTGTGAAGACCAGTCTTTAATAGTGGTTCCAGGCTCCCATAAACGTGCCCGCACACCAATGGAGCGCGGAGCCGATCCCTATGAGGATGATATGCCGGGACAGCTGGCTGTAAAGGTATACCCGGGTGACATTGTGTTCTACAATAATAATCTCCTTCACCGCGGAGTTTACGATAGTAGAACAGAACGCATGACTTGTGAGTATACCTTTTCTTCTGAGGGCCTCGCTTCTGATAGTATGCTGTCTAGTACATGGAACGATAGGAATGAAGGGCTCTGATCCGGCTCGAGCGAGAAATATACTACAACATGGTATAGGCAAGTGGGCCGCTCAGTGCGACTTCCATGCCCTTCCTAGAGATATAGCCAAGCTGGCAGAAAATATGAAGCAGCGTCTGCTGCAAATGGGCTCTGGCGACGATGTTGGTTTCTCCCAGCAGGACTCTTGAATGTAAAAGAAGATAACTCGCGGCACCGCTGCTTCCGTATCCTTGCACTTTCTCAGCATTAGTCATGTTTTCGTCGGCGGGAGCACTGCTTCGCAAATTACTGAAATTGCTTTTCACTATGATGGTAGTGCTGTACACAAGCCTGATGCGGCATTCCAGGACTGAACCCATGCTGTCGTAGGGAGCGTAGCTATACAAGCATGGATACGCAATCTCCGTGCTAAGGTGGCAAGCAATGGATCTGATACTTGACCGAGCAGATGTCTTGGATCGGTCGCTTTAGCACTGCGAACCCATGCTAGAAAGCCATGGTCAAGGCTAAAACTATTTGATGTAATACGAGATGCTGACTGAACGATGCTGTCCATCTTGAAGGTGCACTCATTAAAGTCGTTGTCCTGTGGTCGGCAGAGTGATGCACACCGTTATGAGATCTGGCTCGTGTGAGATCTATGCAGTGTGCAGTGTGCGGCCACAAATCCCAGCGCTCGAAGAAGTCATCTGCTTCCGAAGGGCATGTCACTTTCTCCAGATCAAGAACTATGTTTTCTCGAAGACCTGTTTTCTTGCCAAGTCCCGCGGGCCGAGCGCTCGTGCAGGAACCTTGTCTGTGTTCGAGTGGCATTCGTGCGGACCGCGAATTATTGATGCCTACTCTCGTGCGTTGACGCCATTAAATCTGGCCTCAAGCCACTGCAATGATCTTTGAAGCAATTCTTACACACGATTTGAACTTGCGGCCGCCTTGTGACATCAATTGGAGCGTCTGCAGGCAAGCGATGGCAAGTGGATCTGGTTGGTCGAAGCTCAGAGAGCTCTTCAAGTCTGGAGCGTGCGAGTGTCACGATGCGTCTCTCCGCAGCTCTCGATCCAGGGCTCTGGCTACTTGCTGGTTCCGCTGCCGCGTTGCAGGTTTCAGAAGACGGCTGTTCCTATTAGCAGATCCGCTGTGAGTTTCAGATTTTCAACTCACACCTACGTGCTTTAGTCGCATTTCTTCGTACTAGCATCGTTAAGCATCTCTGGGATCTGCTTCCTTTGTATCTTTTCCATGTATTTCGCGCAATCTGCTTCTATCGGGCCGCAGCTCAAGGTTGGGCGCCTGTTGTGTAGACTGTGTAGTCCTGTCCCCGGACTCCACATAAAAAGCGGGCGCATGGCCTGTGGGTTTGTCAGTGACCCCGGGAATTGTTGCACCTGCTGCTCGTGATAGCGGCTCTACTAGGACACATGCCGCCAGTTGTAAGCAGAGGGTCAGCACTGTATGTCCGGAGATTCATCGTAGCTTTGGGCGTCTGTTGGACGCTGGTCTTATGTACGTTTTATAACGATCCTCGGCGTGCTTACGGAAGTAGCACGGGTTGGCTTGAAGGTCGCTTAGAAGACTTGCTCGACGCTTGTGGCGAACATGTGAGGAGCCGGGAGTTCAGATGAGATCGCGTGTACAGTAAGTGTCCGATGGCTCGGACTCAAGGCGTTCGGCGAGTACAGTTGAATAGTTTGCGATAATGCGGTTGAGCGTGCAGATGCGCACCTCATGCAGCTTCCAGCCTCCCTGGCGAGATCCACAGCTGGCTCTGCCCGAGTGTGTCTGTGGGCGCTGGTAAGTGACAAGCAGTAGCACGTTCGGGCTACGCAAAGCAGGCAAATGGTGTAGTAGTCCAAGAGCTTGAAAAGCTTGCACTTGGGCCGTCAAGTACAAGTATCGCAAGTGGTTTGATTGGTCAAGGCATAGTCAGAGGATGGCAGACCTCAGCACGTGAGCATGCACGTCTGTCAGGTACTGCAGCAAGCTGTTTTCGGAGCTCCGGCATGCAGAGGCTTTCGCCAGCCGCAGGGTCGCGAGATGCTCGATGAGAATAGCCAGGCATACTACTACTGACCGCAGCGTGCTAAGCAGAGACTCGAGATTTGCGGTGTGGGAGTGGCTGTAACCGTGGGAACCGGTGTTCCCCCCATGGCGGCTCGAGTAATAATGCTGCCTTCTCGCACGACGGAGCCGCAGAAGGCGTTGCAGGGTCGGGCACGGGTGCTGCGAGAAATTGGCTACTAGTAGGAGATCTGCAGGCGGCGTATGCCCACACGACTGACCACATGATCACAGCGGGAGCGATTTGAGGGGCTAACTGAGCTCGGACGATATCCTCCTCGATGTCGTCGTCGTCGTTGGTGGTGCGTTGGAACTGGTATGGGACAGCGCTGGTGAAGGCGTGTGCATTTCCACGTGCTCCTTAACAGACTTAGAGTGTGTTCCGAACGGCAACCTTGAGACGCTCAGTGATGAAGACGCAACCGCGCGCACAAAGCGAGTAAGATAAGGTAGCCAAGAGTATGACATAAGTAGACCATGTGATGTGACCCATTTGTGGGCCGTCCAGGATAGTTTTGGGCGGTTTAGCAGCATTGCAGTCAAATCCCCTGCTGGCCCATCACTAATCCTCTCTCCAGCTGCATATCCAGCTTCTGAGTTCTGCGTGCCGCTGGACAGCAGACGGCCTGGGAGTGTAGCGTTGACTTCGTGCTGCTGGAGTGAGCATCACCGCGAGAGCCCGCCGCCATTAGTTCTAGCCCACCCACCAGGCTGCGTCCCCGTTGAGCCAGCCCGTCTGAGGACCTCTCTCTGTGCTCGTGATCGAAGATTGAGGGGCTTCTTGTACCGACACCTACATCACCCTTCCACGCCGCTCACCACCACAACAACCACAACCACCACCACCACCACCGCGATCTCACCAGCCGCAGCCGCAGCCGCACCATTGCTGTCCGCCAGCCTCAGATTCACCCTCCATTCCGACCATCATCAATATTGTGTGTGTGCGCGCGCTCCTGCACGCACCTGCCTCAACTCGACAACGGCCCGCATTGCTCAGCCGTCACCGTCACACCTGACCTGACCTGACCCGACCTGACCTCGAGCACCTGCCACAGGCCACAGCCTACCCTCCCAGCGCCTATACCTCTTCACTACCGCGACTCGCGCGGTGCACTGCGAACAGCAGCCAAAACGGACCTCCTCTGCGCAACCTCGAAATCTCCTCACCAGCTGCTGAATAGCAGCCCGCCCTACTCGCGATAGCAAGTCACACCTGCGCGTGACCACCACAGCCGCTCCCTACAATGTCGCAGAATCGCCCATCGGCGTTCTCAGGATTAAGGATGGGTGGTATGCACCTCCATGCCACGTGATATGGCAATGCTTCACGTCGTGAGAGTGGCAGTGAGCTAACCCGATTGTGCAGAAGTCATTCGCGAAAAAGTGCAGGATGGCCTGACCGGCGAGACCAAGGAAATGCAGTATACGCAATGCAAGATCGTGGGCAATGGCAGCTTTGGAGTAGTCTTCCAGACCAAACTCTCCCCTTCTGGCGAGGATGCAGCCATCAAGCGGGTCCTGCAGGACAAGCGCTTCAAGGTGGGTTCTGCTTTGGAGACGCAATCGCGTTCTGACATTGACTCTCGCTTGCAGAACAGAGAACTCCAGATCATGCGAATCGTCCGTCATCCAAATATCGTCGAACTGAAGGCGTTCTATTACTCCAACGGAGAGAGGGTGAGAGATCTCGATAACAAGATGGGCGTCCAAACAGCTCTGATCGCCGCCCAGAAAGATGAAGTCTATCTCAACCTCGTCCTCGAATTCGTGCCGGAGACCGTGTATCGGGCCTCGCGACACTTCAACAAGCTGAAGACCACCATGCCGATTTTGGAGGTCAAGCTCTACATCTATCAACTCTTCCGCTCACTGGCCTACATCCACTCGCAGGGCATCTGCCACAGAGATATCAAGCCTCAAAACTTACTTCTGGACCCTCACTCTGGTATTTTGAAGCTGTGTGACTTTGGCTCTGCAAAGATTTTGGTGGAGAACGAGCCAAATGTCTCCTACATCTGCTCCAGATACTACCGTGCGCCAGAACTCATCTTCGGTGCTACTAACTATACCACCAAGATCGGTGAGTTCGGCCTACGTATCTTTCACCTGCACGGCTATTCACTGACAACTCATAGATGTCTGGTCCACTGGTTGCGTCATGGCGGAGCTGATGCTGGGTCAGCCGCTTTTTCCAGGCGAGTCCGGTATTGACCAGCTGGTGGAGATAATCAAGGTGCTTGGCACGCCGACTCGCGACCAAATTCGCACTATGAACCCGAATTACATGGAGCACAAGTTCCCGCAGATCAAGCCGCATCCATTCAGCAAGGTAATTCCATGCTCTCGTATTGACGTGAAAATGAAGGCCGCGACTAATCTCGTGCTTTGAATAGGTGTTCCGTAAGGCCGACCCGAACGCAATCGATCTGATCTCGCGACTACTTGAATACACGCCGACGCAGCGCCTTTCGGCGGTTGACGCCATGGTGCATCCATTCTTCGACGAGCTCAGAGATCCGAGTACGAGACTGCCGGATTCGCGCCATGCAGGAGGCGCGAGCAAAGACCTGCCCAATCTGTTCGATTTCTCTCATCATGGTCAGTGGTGTAGCTCAACAGGCGAATGTTTCAGAAGCTTGCAATACTAATACGGTCTCGCAGAACTTTCGATTGCGCCGCACCTCAACCACCAGCTTGTGCCGGCTCACATGAAGTCCGTATTAGCGGAGAAGGGCCTCGACATCGACAACTTGACACCGCTCACCAAGGATCAAATGATGGCACGCCTGGATTGAGAGATTCACGGGGCACTCACACTCAAGAAATCTCTCTCACACACTCGCTCTAAAAGCATCAGCTTTCTATCATGAAGTCACGCAGCGATGCATTGTCACGGTCACAGACGGCGTTCGAACGGGCCTGGAGTCTTCGGCGAAGCTGAGCTGGAGACTTGGAAATAGCATACACCTCAATCTCGACAATGGATGCGCGTGCTTTTGGCTCAACACGCATACGGACTGACGACGAAATCCTACTAGCAAGAAATGCCCTGGTTGCTACTCTCATCACAAGGTAGATGTTCTCTTCTGCGCGATATGGATGTGCAAGTAGAGGAAGTAGCTGGAGCCTTTCTTCTTCTTGGCTGGAATGAAATGGATCTACTATCAAATGGGGCGCGCGGGAAATGAGACGCAAGTTCGACAACTCAAAAATTTGGCTCTAGGCGTCTGGCTAATGATGAAAACTGCTTGTGATGCCCTCGACCGAAATGTACTCATGGAGCCGGTAGCATAGGAGGAGCTCGTATGGGGCTTCTGCGAAGCCTACACATACTCGGGTGTTTGATATCATGCGGCGATTCTGGGCACATGCCGTAGTGATCTCCTCAGATGGCTGGTTTTGGCCACGAATAGATTTCTCTTCAAAAAGCGATGTCTTCCCCGACAGGATCCCTCTTAACGTGTGCAAGGAGGATGGCGTGTTTCCAGCTTTTCGTTAGACGCTTCCTTGATTCGTTCGTGAAGGGAAACGGAAAATCGTGTTCGCCGAGAGCTCGCACTAAGGCCCTGTCTACTTGCAACAGGTTATGGCGTAAACCGAGAGATTATAATAACCTCATAAGCGGCTCAGATTATGGCGACTTATAATCGGTTATCCATGAGACAGTGCCAGGTGTTAAGACCTATATAATAAGCCTCCGGCTCGGCAGCTACACTCTACCTCTTTGTAGTAGGCTATATAGCTTCTAGTAGTATTTATAATGATATCGATGACGGCGCAGTAGGTAGTAAATCGGCGGGCGAAGGGCAGGGAGGACGAGTGCTTCGGCGAGTGTAGTTTGTAGTATAGTTACTATATAAATATACAGTTAGTCGAGTAGCTAGTCTCTTAGTTTAAAGCTATTCGAATACTAGCAAATATAGTCTCTCAATCGACAGATTCTTAGCCCTCTTAGGCTTTATTAAAGACACCTTCTTTAAAGGCAAAGGCGACTCGGAAGCGTGCGGCGACTACAATACCTATTAATAAAGATAGGCAGCGTAAAGCGCTATAATAGTAGACTTAAGAGCAGACCGAGTACTTCCTCGACTAGTTAAACGAGTTTAAGAAGATTAGCCGTAGCACTAATACTAATAACTTCTAGTTAGGTAACCTCCGAGACCTAGCTACGTTAATAAATAAGAAATATAGTACCGAGCGTACTGCGGACTACCTAAAGAATAAGTAGTCGTTAATTAAGAAGGACTAGAGTATATAGATTGCTTACCTAAAGTATATAAGTAGCTAGAATAGTATGCCTCTAACCGCCGAGTCGGACGTAGAAGACGCCTATTTCGACGAGAATCTAAGGTATACTTCCTTCCGTAATAAATTGCTAGAGCACTTCGATATTATAGACGAATTAATCGGCTTAGAGGTAGCTATAGGCGATTATATAGCGACTAACGAGGCCCTCGGTAAAGAAAGCGAGGATAAGGGTAGTAAGGAATCGGAGGTTAAGGTTACGGCGGAAGGCGCGGCTTCCGCGCCCTTTATAGAAGAGCAATTAATAGTATTACGCGCTGCTAAGGCGGCGGAAAAGCATTAAAAGAAGATGTAGAAGGAGGCCGATCGGGTTTATAAGAAGGCGGAGGATGTAAACGAGAAGAATCTAACTATTATAAAGTCGTTATAGAAGGTCTTCGAGCCGATAGTATTAATAGTCGCGGAGGTGGTAAAGGATAGCAAGGAAGAACGTGCTTTAGCGAAGAAACTAGCGGACGAGCAACGCGCTAATACGCTAGCCGCTGCTAAGGCTAGTTTAGTCGTTAGTAACGTTATAAAGCGGCTGCTAGATAAGAAGACGTTTAAGAATATAGACATACCGACGGCTAATCGTATATTATTAATACGCGAGGTCGCAAAGAAGAATAGGGAATTTGACTATTATAAGGTCGCTTCGAGTATAAACTAGGAGCAGTTTAAGGAGTACTTCCTGTCTGTATTAACGGACATTAAGTCTAATATCCGTTAGAATATATATCTACAACAGATAGAAGGTGGATACGTACTATTAGGATATAGGCAATAGGTTGTTATTAATAACAATAATTAGAAATGGCAGAAGAAGTATGTATTTAGTGCTATTCGATACGAGAATTCGTAGATTGGGATAGAATTTTAGTGTAAATGCACGCTAACGGCTATACTATTGATTTATATAGAGGTGTTGTTAATTTTTACTAGCAAAATGTAGTTACGTGCGAGGTGCTATTATATGAAAAAAAGCCATGCCCTATTAACCTAAACTCTAGTATCGTAGAAGTTTGCTAAGAACCTACGAATTCAACCCTACTATAATTTCGACTAGAGAAGAGCCTGTCCGCGGAAGAGGCGATAGTAATGTTCCTTAAATGCACGATTTAAGCCTAGAATTCGAATCTATACCAAGTTTCTTACTAAAAGCTAAACCCCGGCTATTGCCTTTGCATCCTATAAGCATCTACTAAACCCTATTACATCCTTCGCCGTACTCTAAGTAGCACCTCCTACTTTTGAGCCCTTATATTAAGTCTAGTTCTTAACTAATTACCGTCGTATTTAGTATATATCTACCTCGCTATTCTATTACGATAATTAGCGTAACTTTCATCCTTAACCTCTTCGGCGTAGCGCCTATTATCGACGTAAACCTTAGCCGTCGTATCGGCCTCTCGAGCGGCATTTAATTTAGCGTTAGTTAGAAGGAGACCTAGCTCTAAAGATAGCGGTTGTCGACTATTAGATAGAATAAAGTTATAGATAACATAATAGGCGACGATAAAGCGACTTTGTTAGGTAATCGACTAGCTATTTAGTCCCTTTTTAATAAGCCTAAACCGCCTGTTTATAACACTAAACACCCTCTCGATATAGTTACAAAGCTAAGTATAGCGGAGGTTGTAAATCTCTCGATAATTAGTCGGTCGTTCTTCCGCCTCGCCTTACTTATAGAGGTAATATCGTGTCTTCTAATATAGCACTAAGAGCCGTAGATCTTTAAAGGAATATCTACCGTCCGCAAGATAGAAGTAGCTATCTAGTACGTCGAAGCCTAACTAATAGGCCTTCCTTAATATAGTGCTATCCGTTGCTAACCCTTCGTATCTAGGCATTATATATAAGAAGCGCAAAGACGAGTCGCAGGCGGCTATTACATTCTATACAATATAGCCCTTCCGACAACGCTATAGATTGCTATTAATCTTCGGTAGACTAGCTATTAATAAGATGCCGTCGATAGCGCCTATAACACCCTTAAAATATAGCTAGAACTTGCCTCCGTCGGCACCCTTAGACTATAGCGGTTTATCGTCCTTTCGTAGCAATTTAATTTATTCCTTCGCTATACGACACAAATAGCGCGATACGGTATAGATTATCCTTCGTAGTGTCTCTCTTACTATACCAAAGTCGTTAGTAAGGTTGCTAAGGCTCCTATTATGTCCGACTATAACAAGGAAGAGGATAACTCGTAACTTAATAGAGTATTTGTTCCTGTTCTTGCCTTCTAAACTATTCTTCCGCAGCTCTTCTACTAACGCGCGCAATACCGGTTGCTTTAACCTCGTACGCTCGTAATAGTACTTCGGCGGACTATATAGCACTCGAAATGCCTCGCTTTCTATCTTATTGCGGTCTATTTAAACTGACCTTCGTCCTAGTAGTCGATATATCGTACGGCGGCGCAATTTAGGTAGTTCTTCGAGTAACAACGGTATCGTGCTAGCAATAGCGCTTACCGACAACACGACCGCTAATAATCGCTCTATCGTACCTCGTTCTTTACCTCCGCCGCCCTATACCTTGTCGACCGCTATATAAGACGTAGAAAGAGGTAGATACTGCGGCGCTATGCCGGAAGTCTATAGGGCGTACAGATAGGCTTAAAAGCTCCTTAAGAGTTAGTTATGCTAATCATACTATATATAGCATAATCTCAGCGAGTTTACGAGCACAGCGATAACTAACGATTCAATAATCGTTGTTATATGAGACAGGTTGGTTATTGGAAGAGTTGTTATAATCTACGGCCAGGTTATGCTATAACCTGTTGCAAGTAGACAGGGCCTAACGAGAAGCTGGAATCACGAAATCCTCCTTGCACATATTACCTTCTACCTACAGGCTCGAGTGAAGTCTGACGAAGCTACGCCGACTATGACAATCAGGTTGCAAATGAGATCATCTCGATCGCGACGAAACGACGAAAGCTTGCTGTTACGATTGTAGACTACACAAATCTGGTGCCTTGTCACGACTGCCTGAGGATGACTGAACGCCATCTAACGCTTTCTTCCAAGCACTCTCCGTCTCCAACCACGCACTAAAGTCCTTCAAATACGGATACCTCTTCCTCAACTCCGCAACATCCACGCCAAATCCCTCCGTTCGAAACCAATCAAACATCAACCCCAACTGCTCATGAAGCAACCATTTCAGTATCCTCGCAACAAACCCATACGTCTCTGGAATCTTTTGTCCCGTCACCTCTCTAAATACTTTCTCGGCCTCAACCACCGAATTCTCATCTCCTGCCAGAGATATGCTCTTGTTCCGATATTCGGATGTCTCGGCGTTGGGGAAGGCTTCCGCTGCTATCTTGCCGATGTCTTTTGTACTGACTAATTGCAACTTCGCATCATTGCCATTCAAACCCCACATTGCCGTGAAAGCTTTTCCCAAAAAAAATCGTTCGTCATGGTTTCGTAGAAAGCTACGGGCCGGAGAGAAATGTCCATGTTGTCGTCTTTTCTTTACTTTTCGTCATGATTTCCCTCTCGATTTCGAATTTTGATGCAAAGCCAAAGTGAGGGATGTTTGTGGGGGGTTTTGTCGCTTGTCTATTCTATGCCTCGATCGGTGGCTGTGAAGACTATGTGTTGGATTCCGGCGTTTGTGGCTGCGTGCACTAAGGCTTTGCCTTCTTTCTCTTCTTCTTTTGCGGCGTTCATGGGGTTGGACATGGCGAAGAGGCCCCATGGGGATTTTACTTGGGAGAAGATTGCGTCGGGATCGTTGAAGTTGCCTTCGATTATGTGGACGTTCGGGTTTTTGGCGAGGGCTTGGGCGGATTTGGAGGTCTTGTTGCGCGTGACTGCGTAGATCTCGAAAGGTTGGGAGGGATGGGATAAGAGGGCTGTTATCAGTGCTCCGCCTTGTTTGCCAGTTGCACCTGTCACGACCAGTGGTCTCATGGCTGGCACTGCTGTGGTCATCGCTGCAGCTTGCGGTACTGTCCTCGTATTGCTATTCGCTTAGTAGAGCTGCCAATGACTTGTAGAATACGATGAAGACGGTATGCTCGGTCCAGGCGAGAGGCCTCTATATATACCACCTGTTGTGGCACCTGCTGGAAGTGCTTCGTCGAAGATCTGGCGACTGACAGATCATTGCCTACTGTAGTCAATCACTTCACTTCACTGGAGTACGGCCTGCCAGAACTGGAAGATATCTGCATCTTGGAAATGCTGTATCCGTCCGCTGTGCCACATGTTGTGCCGTCGGTAGGAAGTTGGACCGATCTGCAAAGCGGCTTCCTGCTTCAATTCTCAACTTCGCGCGGCGCTGCGCTTCCTCTCTCGATTTCTTCTGATTACACAGCAGCCATTTTGGTCTTCTGCTTGGCCGCATCGCATTTTCAGTGCTTGCAAGGTGTGCGGATCTGCGTGAGTACCTGAGCTACTGCTGGTGGGACTCATTTTGCTGGAAGATTTGATCGAGAGCATCTCGGACATGGTGGCGATTGCTCTTCCTGCTGAAATAGACCATTAAGGTTGGACTGCCTTTCACGATTTGCATCACCCTCAGGCATCCTTCGTCGGAACTGTTGTGGTTCAGTCAGGTGATATGCTGGTCAGCTGATACCATTAGCTGACCTGTGCCAAGAGGAAGGACACACAATGGGTATATTAACTGCAGTTTCTGTAGCTGGCTCCTAATCCTTCTTCGTATAGTTATATAGTTGTTAATCCGATAATTAGTTGTATCCTTAGCACGATTTACAATAGGTTATAAGCCTAGCGTATACGCTTACCTATCTAGTTCAACTATAAAAGAACTGTTTCTAGAGTCTACTAAATAGAGCTAGCTATCTAGACCTATTAGGTACCTAGTTAAGAGCTCTAGTTCGGACTAAAACCTAGCAAGTGTCCCTTATAAGCCCTGCCTAGCACTATACTAAAAGGTAGCTAGGAACGATAGACACTAATTAGACAAAGATAGTAAAGGAGAATTAGGTTCTTAGGAAGGGGATCAACTTCTAAGACTAGAAGCTTATATTCTAGGCGGCCCTTCTAGAAAAGGACCTAGTTAGTATAGTATTCTATAGACTTAACTAGGCTAATAAAATAAAACTACCTCTAAAAAGTATGTTTATAGAGGACTTAGCCGATTAGTAGTATAGAGACATGTTTAGGGACTAGAAAAAGAAAGATATCTAAGCCCTAGGCATACTTATTACTAGACTCGACCCTACCCTTAGACTAGACTTCGGTAACATACCTAAGTTAGCTAAGGATATATACGACTATATTAAGGCTCTATACAAGCCTATTATAACCGTAGACATATTTAATACTATTAAACTTATTAGGTACATTAGGATGCCCCTTACTAATCCGAATACCTAGTAGTACTACGAATCTTTTTAGTAGTAGTTCAATAGATTCTAAACATCGATAGAACAATTTACTAGCTTAGTTATAATAATAGAAGCGTCTATAAAGTTATTAGACATTAAGATGCCTAACATGCTTATTAGGATGCTGTTTATTTAGGGCCGTTCTAGTTACGAATAGCTTAGATCCTAGAAGTATAACAATAAGCCTAAAGCTAAGGACTCCTCCCTTAAAGCAATAATAACGTCCCTAAGGAGAGAAAAGCCTCCTAGACAGTCATCTAGCGGCTTAAAGCTTGTTAGAGGGGCTATTAGCAATAATAACGACTAGTGCACTTAGTATAAGCACAAACACACTAACGCTAAGTGCTATAAGCAACACCCTAATATAGCACTACCTAGTTAGGGAAAGAAAGACAAGAGCAAAGACAAAGACAAAGACAAAGGCAAGAAGGGTAAAGGCAAAGGAAAGGGCAAATCTAGTAGTACTATTAACAATAACAAAGATAAATCAGACTCCCCCTCTAACTCGGAAGATAAGGGAGACTATTAGCTAGACGGCCTTAGTAAGGGCCTAATTAGGGGAGCTATTGCAAAGCCGGGACTAGCTATAGTAAGCTCTAAGAACCTAATAGCTAATACAAAAGTTTAGGACACAGGTACATTACTATACATTATAGGGAACAAGAGCTAGTTTAGCGATCTTAAGTACCTAACTAAGCCTGTTCAGTTCTCCTAAGTAGTAGGAAAATCAAGTGTATTACGATTAGGAACTGTTAACATCTTCCTAACCTATAAAGGAAAGAAAACCCCAATCACTCTAATAGACGTCCTCTACTCCCCGAACTCAGATTATAACCTAATCTTAGTAGAGCGTCTTTAGAAGAAATATAGCATTTACTTAGATAGACCTTTAGGTACTTTGATGCTTAAAGGCAAGCTAATTAGAAAGGTTAAGGAAGTATAAGGAGTACTTGCCCTTAAAGATACTAGAGTTAAAATGCTAGGCTTAGCTTTAAAACCAAACTTAGAATCGAGTTAGAAAGGGCAGCTATTAGCCCTAGCTATCGCTAGACTACGAGCGGACATATTAAGATAGCATTAGAGACTTAGCCACGTCGGCAACAAGATCCTAACAGCTACTAAGGAAGCTATTCTAGGCCTAGAAGAAGTTAATATATCTAAACTCGAGCACTATAAGACCTACAAGCTCTCGAGAGCTTAAAGAGTTGTATTAAGAGAATACAGAACTAGACTAGAAAAAGCCCTTAACGAAGTCTATATTAACCTTGTTAGCGTACAACTATTTAATCTGTTTGGAAACAGGTACATTATAATCCTAACTAATGCTAAAACTAGGCTTAGGTAGGGTCTGTTACTTCGAAGCAAAGATAAGGTAACAAGTAGTAATAAACTAACTAACTAGATAACTAGAATTAAGAGGCAATACAACAAAATCCCTAAGATTATCTTTAGTAATAGCGGGGGAGAGTTTACTAACAACGATCTAGTATATTTTGTAGAGGAAGTTAGTATTAGATAGGATGTGTCTATACTATATATACCGGAGCAGAATAGCATTATAGAGTCGTTAAACAAGACGATTCTACTTAAGGCAAGAGCAATAATAATTAACTCTAGCCTACTAATATACTGCTAGTGCTTTGTAGTAATGCATTCGATTTACCTAACTAATAGACTAGTAAGCTTAAGAACTAAGGAAGTTCCACTTAAGGCTTTCGAATTAGACTTGAATATCGGCAGTATAGACATTGACCTATCTAAGACGAGACGATTTAGCTATAAGGCATTTAAATACCTCGAATCCGGAGTTAAACGACTTAACTCCTAGAAATTTGCACTAAGAGCTTTCGTTTACTAGTTTATTAGATTCTAAGAAAATTCGTTAACAAACTATCTGCTTTAGAACCCGTACTAGAAGGATGGCGTATAGCAGTATAACGTCAGATTCTCTCTATACGTTACCTTTAACGAGGACTTTGTCTATAAAGACAATTTTACTAAGCTTCTAAGTACCCTTTAAGCTTAGGGGGAGTATTTAAGACTAGCTATCCCTTAGGAGACTATTTAGGTACTTGAAACCTAGTCTAACCTTTTATTTGAGTTAGGAATCCTAGCACTATTCCCTAGTAATAACTAAACACCTTAGCACTCTTTAGAACCTTAGGGGGAGCTATTTAGAGGTAGCATCCCTTAGCCTTAGCAGGCTTATAATTAGGAAGATTAGGAAGACTCCCTTATAGCTTAGGGGGAGCAAGGTACACTTAAGTAAGGAACACTACCTTAGCCAACACCTATAGCTAATAAGCTAACACTCCAAAATTACTAACTAGAACTACTAGCTACCTAGTAGGAAGCTGCTTCTAAGAAAAATTAGTATACTTAAGAAACAGATACTACTAAACTAGAAGATACCCTAATTACTCCCTTCTAAGTCCCTAAGACTACTAGCAAGAGAAAGAGGGCTCCTAACCTACCTTAGCTAAACCCTCCTTAAACCGAAGTACGACTTAGGTCGGGCAGAGCCGTAGCTAAGCATAACTATAGCAAGATTACTAAGATTGCTATAGCTGCTGCTACAAAAGATGCTTAGAAGCTAGCTAACCTAACAACCCTAGCTGAAGCCCTAAAAAGGCCTAACTAGGATGAATAGAGAAAAGCCGTTACAAAAGAGATAAGGTCTCTTAAAAAGTCTAGTGCAATCGAGTGGATTCTAGCCGAATCCCTACTAAAAGGCAGAACACCTCTAATAGGAAAATAGGTTTTCAAGATCAAATACCTGCTAGACGGCTCTATTAACAAATACAAGGCAAGATAGATAGCTAGAGGCTTTATATAGAAGCAAGGTCTTAACTATATTAACACCTATACTCCTATACTAAGAGCAGCTACTACTAGACTTGTCCTTAGGCTTTTAGTAAACAAAAACTAGAAGCGAAGACAGATTGATATCGAGACTGCTTTCTTAAATCCCCCTCTAGATAAAGAGATTTTTATTAGACCCCTAGAAGGCGTGCACCTATTTAAGAAGCACCCTCTAAAGTAGATCATCCGTATTAGAAAAGGATTGTATAGCCTTAAGCAGGCTGCTAATCTCTAGCACTATAATGCTTTAGATACTCTTCGTCAACTTAGCCTAAGTAGGACAAAGAGTGACTATTGCCTATAGCAAGGTAATAGTATTCTTATCCTCCTTTATATAGATAACTTCTAAATCTTTAGAACCTCTAAGGCAAAGATCGATGCTCTAATTGAAGGTCTTCGCAAGAAGTATACAATTAAGATTGTTACGTCTAACCTGTTTCTAGGCCTTTATCTAAAGGAAGATAAGGAGGGAAACCTTACTATCTCCTAGATACACTATACTAAAGAGAAGCTTTAGAAGCATAGCTTAGACTAGTACAAGCTAATAAAGCATCCACTTAAGAAGCTTTACGAGCCTCTTATAACCCCCTATAACCGTTAGGACTACTAGCTATTTAACACTATAATTAGTAAAATGCAGTTTCTAGCTAACTAGACTAGACTAGATATTAGCTATACCGTCAACCACCTTGC